CAAACCAGACATTATTTAGCCTGAAATGTGTCAAAGATCCAGTCATACAAAGTTGCAGACCCATAGGTAGAGAGCTCTTTAAAAGCTGGTGGAATCAAGAGGGTTTGTTTTTCAACTCTAAAACAATCAAATTCTATGTTTTAATGAGAAAACTGGCCATGACATATATTTCAATATAAGAAAAGAAGTGTTTCTATATAGCTTATTTTCCACTTAAATGTCAGAAGATTTAAATCTAAACCCATACCCCACTTCTATTAACATAAAAGAAAAATATGCTGAAAAGTGAATTCTGTTTATTTTATTTATTCTTCAAGTGGTGAAAAGTGAATCTGTTGAGTTTATTTATTTTTCAATCTTGCATTTTTCAATGAAGTAGTTTTCCTTGAGTTACCTAAACCTTTTCACCCTACCCAAATTAATTTTCAAGCACTCTTTGTGACATGACTTGTTTAGATTAATTTCTGTTCCTCTTCTCTATGAGAAAATGTTTTTACTTTCAGTTTCTTAAAAGATGTTAACACAGTCCTAATATTTGGAGACATATTAGACCGAAGTTATTCACAGTGACTTTTTCCCATTGTGCTTGGGTAGCTAATCATTAAAGGGAGCTATTTCTCAGATGGAGATTAGCTAGGGGTTATCCATTTGAAAGGTGTAATTCAAGAATAATGACTAATCCTGTGTACATAAAGGAAGAAGGAAGGTGCATTTATTAAGAAAGAAGAGATTAGATCTTATCTCATAATCTCAAGTTTTATGCTTTTTTATTTGTTTGTTTTTCATTGATCCCAGATACATTATAGACCCTAAAAATAGACCCAATATTTGATTGATTAATTTAAATACATATTTTACTATAATACAAAGGACAGTTTAGAGATTAATGAAACCAGTTTGTAAAGTCAAAATTTGCTATTCCCTACATGTACCTAAAATGTCTTCTATAATTTATTTTACAAACTGTAAAATGGATTCTCTAGCAAACCAAATTCAGCAGCTCTAACATGATTTCTAATATTTATTCAGACTTGAGCAGACATGAGATAAGAACATACTACAGTGACAATAAAGGTAAATGTTTAGAGAATCAAGTAATTATTTCAATGTGTCTTGTAAAACACAACCTAGGAAAACCTTTGGACACTATGCTTTTCCTAAATAAACCTTTCACCCAGAACCTCTTTATATCTACATGTATACACACTTTTCAAAGGAACTAGGGAGAACTCTTTATATGTTCCTGAAAAAGGGCATGAGAGAGTCTATATACAAAGGAATATAGTATCTACTTTGTGATATAAAGAAAAAGGAGAAAATGGCATTAAATTGTTACACTCAAAATAAATATATTATTTCCTGTTTTATAACTTATAACTAGAGGCCCAATGCAAGAAATTCATGCAAGAGTAGGTAGGCCTTCCTCCAGCTGCTGGCACCAGCTTTCCTCTGGTACCTGGTATCCGGTACTCGGGCCTCGGCCTTCCTCCCCAACCACCAGCTGCCTGCAAAAACCCAGGACCCAAGTTTCCCTAGCAGCCCCAGCTTTGTCCGGAAGGTAGTCCAGAAGGACTTCTGGTATAATTAGCATATTATGCTTTTATTATTATAGATAGGGAGTAACACACAAATGAATACATCCATGCTAGAAATTACAGAGGGGCACAGGTAGGGTCTGGGGTGGGCACTGCCAGCAATGTCTCACTGACAAGCTTCTTTTTCAGCTACAGAATAGAATGCCCAAGTATCATACATTTTTCCTCTAGTCACATGCACCCTCCTACATCAATTTATCATATCAATAACATTATGTTCATTCCTTTCTACCTAGCTATACTTTATTTCTCTCAGTCCCTGCCTCCCCTGTCTTTTATTCATTTTTTGTTAGAATTATTTATAATGAGTAAAGGGAATTAAATAATCAATAATAAAGCAGATCTACATATAAACCATCCATCCTCGCCTGAGTTATTCCACTGTAGCTTTGGTCTGTCCCTCTGTAATCCATTTTTCTCACACTAGCCAGAGACACCTTTAAAACATAGCTTTGATCATGCCAAGTTTACCAGTTAAGCCTCTCCACATCTTCCCACTGCTTTTACAATAAAAGCCAAACTCCATATGACCAGCAAAGCCTTCTGCCCTCTGGCCTTGTCTACTTTCCTCTGACAGTCTCATTCTACCATCTCCTCCCCTCCATAAACCTTCTTTCTCTTCCCTAAGGACAGTAACCTCATTCCTAGTTTAGGACCTTATGCCTCCTCTTCCCTCTGCGTGGTACACATGGGATCCTATGTCCGCATTTAGATCCAGCATAAACAGGTCTCTATTAGTAGCACAAAACAGAGTGGCCTCATCACTGGGTGGTGTTTTTCTTACAAACACCTGTGTCCTCCAGGAAGCATAAGCTATGGGACCCTGGGTCCCCAGAGCTTGGAGCAATTGCTGGCACATGGCAGGTGTTCCATAAATATTTGTTGAGCAAACAAAGGCTGCGAACTCCTTCACTGAGCGCAAGAAGTGTACTGCTTGCCTTTCACAATAATCTGGGATTCTTTCATCTTCTCGTGGATCGTGGTAGAAAGAACGACAGCCCAATTATCATGTAAAGCCATTCCCTTTAATGTTTTGTGACACTGGTATTGCTTTTGCTCTTCCAAATTTGCCTCATGCTATATGATACATAATTTAATCTACTTTCTCACTGTGCTTGTTTATTCAACTTGAGTTGAACACTTTCATGCATTGGGTAGTATGTTTATCAGTCTACTTCACATTTTGTTTATTTAGTTCATTTTCATATCCTCCAAACAAATGTGTGGCCACTTAATCATCTGTTTCTATTCTCATGGGGTGTTGGTATAGACAGTGTTGTGGCTCACAAAATCCAAACATCAATTAAAGATATCTTCTGATTAGAAAATCTGATATAAAACACTAAAAAGTTTCTTTGCTCAGAATTATTTATAAAGCTATGGTTATTGTTTTGCAAAACATAGACAATGCTCTCACCATTGTGAAAAAGAAAGAAAATGATTAAAGGATTTCAGGGCTTTTTTTTTTTAATGACCTTGATTTGGACTAATAAATTTGTAGTTTGTTTTGTTTTTTTAAAAAAGAAAAAGGTAACTGGAGAATTTTTCAGTGTATTCAACATGAAAAGCAAAAAACAAAGCAGCTAGGAAAAACAGTTCTCCACTTACAGCAGTTTCAGGTACAATGGTAGGCGCATTCCAAAAGAAATACAGCCAGTATTTCTTTTCATGAACTTTTTATAGTTGAATGTAGGAATCAAATATGAATTCTGCCTTGTGTTCTGATATGAGGGAGGCCAATACATCCTAGGGAAGCTCACCTTGACAAGTCTCAAACTGAGACTTTGTATATGTGAACCTTTGTAGTTCTACAGATTATAGATTTACTGATATAATTAAGCTGGAGACAAAAACACTGGCGGTATCTTTCCAGTTCACTTTGATTACAGCACAACTCCAAGACTTCTTCAAGGTCATGAGGCCAAATCCAATGGTCCTACAACCTCTCACTGGCCTTGCTCCTTCCAAGGTTCCTCTTTTCCTGGCCCAGTTTAAATTCAAGGTCAATCATAATCTTTTCTTCACATGTACCCTCAACCTCCTCCCACAACCCCTCAACCGCTCAACCACTCAACCCCTCATCTTTTCTTGGCAACACACACACACACACACACACACACACACACACAAAACAATCCTGGTTACATCCAATTCTCTGCTTGCTTGGAACCTGACTTTAGGCAAACAAATGGGACTGAACACATACACAAACACACACACACACCTTGAGTAAACTTGAGACACCTTCTCCCAAACTCTAGGTTTCAAGTCTTCCTTTTCTTAGAGCGTTTACTTGAGAAAGTTTGCAACTCTAAACACTTAACCTGCCTCTATCAAATGCAAAGCTTTTCTCAGCCTTTGCCAGTTTTACAGCCCAGAAAAGTCTTTCTAAAGGACCTAGCAGCTCTCTCTAGTCATCACAGAAGGAGATAATCTCTGGGGGATGGTGGGAGTCTCACTTCCACAAAGGCTAATTAGCAACCACAGATAACCTGCTCACATTGCCCAACCTCCTCTCCCAGTACTTTTCCACCAGCTCACCTTAGTCCTTAAGAACCCACCTACCTTTCATTCCAGCACAGTTGAGTTTTCTCTCTCTCTACTGCAAGCCTTAAATATGCTCTCCCTGACCTGTTGAGCTTAGATTTGGGATTGCACACATCAAGTGGAACCTGAAGGGTGTCTCACAATCATGCTGTGCTTTCCCAGTCCATTCCCTCTTTCATTTTTTCTCACATTACCTCCTCTTTCCTCAAACCTCTCCTACCTCTACTCAGTCCTCATTCTTAGTTGGGATGACCTTACTCTTTAGATCGCCAAGGAAACAGAAGATATCAGAACAGGTTTACTTCAAGCACCCAGCTGCACAGGAGTCCAGACACTCTTCTCCCCTGTGTCTATGGGCACCAGAGACCTTATCCTCAGGATGATGCCTGTGTCAAATGCCTCTGTCTCCTGCTTCAACATTTTTCAAGTTTCATAGTTTCAGGGAAAAGGCAAAAGTGACACTTCCACTTTCAGGCACATAACAATGTGTGCAAAATATACTCAGGTGCAAATAAAATATACACTCAACAATTAATTCCCCTTGTAAATCTGCTCCTCTGAACCTTCAGAGTGGTGACTGACTACACTCTTGCTTCATGTGGACTGACATGAGATGGAAATATGCCAGCTCCTATTCTTGGAAGTCAAATTGACATTACATTTGCTATAATCAAGTTTTTTCCCCCTCTATAGCTGGTTTGCACATTTCTGACTATGAATAAATGTCAGATGCGCTAAGCTGCTTTTTATTGAAGCTATAAAAAATTTAAAAGGTCTTCCTGCAGTTTGTAACTCATCATTGCGAAGCTCTAATGGGCTAGGTCCCATGGGGAAAGTTCAAGTGTTAAAAACAATTACCTCTTCAAGGACGTCAGCAAGTTTACTGAGGATCTCTTCAGGAAGGCTCTGGAATGTGGGAACACTGAAAAACAAAACAGATGAATCTGAAGGCATGAACAATGACTTACTTTCATTTAAACACACACACGCACATGCACACACACACACCCCAAAAAAACCACACATACAGCAGTGTATCTCAATGAACATGCAAAAACCTTCATGACAAAGAGTCTGCAGATGTAGGCCAAAGCAATAACTTAAGCATGGTTTGATGACTAACAAGAAAAGGTCTATTTCCTGAGAAAGAGCTTGGGGTTTAGACAGAACCAAATTCAAATCCCAGTTGTATTTATCTGTATGACCGTCAGTGTCCCATCTATAATAGGGAAAACTCATCCTCTCCCTTAGCAGCCTGCCGTCACCACATTCCTTTTAGTTCCATCTCCCTCTTTAGGTCCTCTGTCCCCACTGCTCCACACCCTTCCCCTTACACACACACACACACACACACACACACACACACACACACAGACACACACACACACAGACACACACACACACGATATATGTAGACCAGCAAGCATTCATCAACAATGTTGGAAGCTTTCAACAGCTAGATTAGGTCCTCCCATGATAATGATAATGTCTTTTATCCTTCCTACAACCATATTAGATAATCAGATATGTGTTACTGGCTGTCTTCCCTGATCAAATTAGTATACCACAGAAACAGGAGCATTCTTTGTCTTGTTCAACCCCTGTATCTTTAGTGATTCATGAATAACAAGTTGTAAGCATGTGTTGAATACAGTGATGAAAGCATGGATGTGGGAATGCTTCCTAGCACAGTTGAAAGGATCAGATCAGACAGAATGGAGAGAAGAGCCAGACTCATAGCAGACACTGAAAAAAAGTTAATTCTCTTCTCATCCTCTTCTCTTATTTTTCCCTCTTTGACCAATAAATAAAAATATTGTATGATGTTGAATACACAAACCAACAAAATTTCTTTTATATGTGAAATAGTAATGGCTTAAAAAATAATCTTTAGTATATATAATTCTTAAAACTCTACTGGAAAATCTAACTGGGATGTGGAACTAAATTCTCATTTAATCCTACCTCAATGCTTAAATAAGGTGGGGGTGGGGGGGAGACTCCAAATGAGTGTGTGTACATCTGTATTATTATATTTGAATCACAGAATAGTTCTGGCATGATTAGAATCATACCGGCACTAGGCTGAGGGTATTTTAGATAATATAAATTTTATTCTTACAACAGCCTTATCAAATAACCATTGTTACTGTCACCCATTTTACAGTTAAGACCACCGGGATCTTGGAAACTTGTCTTAGGTTCACACAACTCAGAAGAAAGGCTAGAAATTTCCATCTGAAGGACTGTGAAGCTAATCACCTCCTGAGCTATGCACTTTAGAGTGAAAAGTATTTAGAAATGCCTCATGTAACTTTCAAAACAGCGCTACATTCTTTTGTGTAATAATTTTGAAATGAATTAATAATACTAATAACATAACTTAGTGACTTCATTTGTTAACCAACTTTTTACTATGAAAATGACAGCAGTGTGTGAAGGCCTGAGGGTATGGAAGCAGGGTTGAATGGTCAATGGAGGGAAGAAGGGAGACATCTGTAATACTTGCAACAATAAAAATAAACATTTTTTAAAATAATAAAAACTGAAGAAAAGAAAAATATCAAATAAATTAAAAGGCAAAATAGTTCAAGAATCACCTGTATCCCCACCACCTGAAATTATAGTTAACATTGTGCCATCTTGGCTTTATCTACCTTCAATCCTTCTATTTTTCTAGATGAGCTTTACAGTCATTTTTATTAATTTTTTGAATGCAGATTAACAAATGTTGCCCCTAATACTTCAGCATACATATCCTAAAAATAACATGTCCCTAAAGAAATAACTATGAATCAACATCATACATAAGAAAAAATAAATACAATTTCAAAATATTATCTCATAGCTGTCCTGTTAGCAGAGAATTAGCATCAGAATGTTAGGGGTGATTAGACCTCAGTTCAGCAACCTCAATTGAGTTCTGGGAAAGGTTTCCCTAAGGTTGTCTTTGCTTTCTACCTTGAGTGATTTTCCATACCTGGTCTATCATCCTTGCTCTGCTCATGCCTGTTCAACTGCCCATCCAATCCCATATTCAAAAATTGCCTATTGTTCAAAAAATGTATTTATTTAACTTCCAAGCTAGCTTCCATAAAAATACACACACCGCTTCTTTCTGGCTGTTATATTTCTCTAGTCTTTTATTCTACACAATCCTCCTACCTCCCCTTCCCCCTTATTACATTCACTTTTGGAAGAGATCTGGGACAGCTGTCTTTTTGGATGCCCCACATTCTGAATTTGTCTTAGTAATTTTATTTCTGGTAACCTAGTATATGAACATAAAAACTAACTGGGGAGTGGGGAAATGCAAGTGCAAAGAATTTTATTACAGCCAGATGGTTGTAAAAAAAACACACAGTAAGAAAATAGGCCTCATAGAATATCATTATCTCAGCAACAGTGCTCAGAATGTGTTCTGGGAGCCCAGGATACCCCGAGACCCATCCATGGGGGCCCAAATCAAAGCACATAGTCTGAGCTGTCATTTGCCTTTTTCACTCTTCTTTCTCATGTGTACAGCAGAATCCCCCAGAGACTATATGACATCACTGCTTTGATGGCTAATGCATGTATACTTATATGTTCTTGTGCTTTGTTGAATTTTTAAAGGTAGTATTAGGTTTCCCATATATATACTATTTATAGAAATTAACTCAGTACCATTTCAGTACTTTGTGCTTCTATGAATTAATTATCATATACCTACTATAATCTCTGTAACCTTATTATCATTCAATAAATCATTCTTTTGAACTTCTGAAGTATTCCTTCTGCCTAAGAGGGAAACAATAATTTAAAATACCTGGATACCTTGCATTGCAATAATAGTTTTACATCTTTTCAAAAACATTTTTAACTTTTAAAATTTTATCTAAGACTTACAAATTTAGAAATTTGTAAGAATTATCAATATTAAAAACTTAATACAAAGTTTGATTTTTCTTCTTTTTAAGGGTAATTTACTTGAAAGGGAAAGATCGTAAGATTCTTATGCTCCTGCCACAGCAGAGAGTTTTCTGACTCATGGGGGGGACAATGTAGTGCAAAGAAATTGGAGACACTGGAGATCAGAGATATAAATATGGCAAAACCTATCATTATCATTCCCTCAGCATTATGGATGATAATAATTTACCATATTGTCAACAGAATATTTAAACAATAATATTATCATGCCGGTTGCAATATCACTCGAAGCCTAATTACTCAAAGTTTCAAGAAGAGAATATTGAGTTTTTAAATGTAGACATGATAGACTTTTTGAAACCCAAAATATTTTTGATGGAGCTTTTCAAATCAGAAATGGAAGACTAAGGGAAGCATTTTGCAGGGTGAACTTCCACACTTCAGTGACTGGAGAATACCACAGGATGGCTGAGACTACTAAAGCTTTGTAGAGCAGACTCTACCGAATGTCTGCTGGGTGAAGCCAGTGAAAAAATATTGCTGCACTGCCTCTTTCCAAATATATAACACCTTACTGGATCCAACATGAAACTGCAAACACAGAGACAAGTTGAGATCTTGCCTGTGGAATTGTACTTATGACTTACAAATGAATCCATCTATACTCATGGCTGGACTTGCTGTTTCCCTCATCTTCACTTGGTATCTGAACCAACTAATGACCAAAGAAGGTAATTTTTATAGAAATTCTTAGCAATAAACACATGTGGTACTGAGCTATTCACTATAGAACAACTTTTCAAATCTTACAGTTTACCCTGAAACAAGTCAATTGACATTGACACTGACCATGCAAGAGCAAAGGTGGCCCTCAGTACAAAGTAAGGCAGTAACACCCAACTGCACTCATTGTCCTGTTCGGCATCACCACATACAGCAACATAAAACAACAATTTTAATTGAAAATGCTTTGAATGAAGCAGTAAAAATTATTTTCTTGATTCAACCCTTGAGTGTGGATGTTTTCCATGGTATGGGACAAATGGCAAGTCCATGTAAAGTGCATCTTCTGCCCACTGAAGTATGATGCTTGTCTCAGGAAAAGGACTTTAGTTGGAGCTGCAAGATGACTTAACCACTTTGCTCATGGAATGTCATTTTTACTTGGCAACAACCAACAAACTTTGGTTAAGCAGACTTGAGTATCCAGCAGACTGTTTTGTTAAAAATAAATAAATAAAATAAAATAAATAAAAATAAATAAAAAATTTTTAAAAAGTGAGCTTGTCACTTCAAGGAAAACCACAGCCAGTATTTGTTGCCAGTAATAGAACTTGAACTTTCAAATTAGTATTAAAACTTCTGAAAAATTGTATCTCTGAGCTTAACAGCTTCTCAATACTTGAAGACTGTCAGATAAGATCATTTGGTGATATATTGATATTAACAAATGAGAGCTTTTTGGAAATCCAGTGAACCAGTACTTTGCAGATGCCCAATGCATGATGTATTGAAATCATTCATGGGGAAAGATCTACTCAAAGTGCAAGATGGATCAATGGATTTCAATGTAATGAAGTATGAAGTTCGTTGATATGATTTCTGATCCTCCAATGCAATTAACTTTTAATAAATTACTATTTGTTGAGCTTTGTAGAAGTATCAAAGACAAGTGTCCACAGTTACCTGCAAAGGCCATTAATATATGTCTCCCTTTTCCAACTACGTATCTGTGAGGCTGATTATTTTTATAGACTTCAACCAAAGCAAGCCAGGCCCTGCAGAGAGCTACTGGCGCACAGATTCGTGTTCAGGACCACTAGTATAAAATAATACTGAATGTCAATTGTAACTGAAGTTTGAAAAAAGTGTTTAACAATTCCCTCTACTTGGAGCCGAGCATACAGAGTTAAAATAATTATCTTTGGATAGCATTTGGGGAACAGTAGCCTTTTTATTCTGTCATTAAGAAATAAGCTTGGTATCAAGTGTAATGTTAAGAATATTGAC